AGACTCGTTTAGAAGTTATGGGAAGTTAATTTATTTGTTCAGGGTTAACTGAGCCATAAATGCAAAAGCGGGAGTTTGCGCACGCACACATGCACAAGCCCCAAAGGTAAACCAAACCCTGTCAGCGAGTCAGTTCTGACTCATAGGGATCTACCTGTAGGACAGAGGGCAACTCTGACCGTTTCCAAGGCTGTAAATTTCTAGGGAACCGACTGCTTCACATTCCTCCCAACACTCATGGTTTCAAATCACCAGCCTTTGAGTCAGCAGCCCAACGCTTAATCTACTGTGCCACCAGGAGTTCTCCATATATAGATGGTTTGAAGTCATCAGCTGCTCCGAGGAAGAAAGATGAGCAATCTCTTCTTGTGCTGTTTATAGCCTCTGAAAACCCAATGGAAGGTCAACTGTGACTCTGTTTCATAACAACAATGTGTCTGTGTGTGTGTCCAAAGTCCATATACTTAACCATTTGGAATGAAGTGTGTGTATTTATTTATAAGCTTCAAAAAATTATATTATTTTTAAATATTTTTTTAAATTATTTTTGTGTGCGTGTACCATCAAATCAGATCTGACTGGTACAGGAGGAGATTGCCCCTCCTTCCCCGGCAGAGCATCTGGTGGATTCGAACTGTGCACCTCTGGGATTGTAGCTGCAGCTTCTTGCCACTAGGCCACCAGAGCTCCCTAAATTTTATTAATTTCAATGAACATTTACAGAGATTTTGCATTTCCATTCATTCATTGTTGCACTTTTCTCCCTGCCCAAAAATTACATTTTTTTACCAAAAAATATGTTTACCAAGTTTACTTATCCAGGTCATGTACACTGTTTTTCACACTACCCTTCATTCACATTATGTTTCATACAATTATTCCCATTCATTAATTTTATCACAGGAACATTGGGATCCAGAAAATTCTAATAACTTATCCAAAGCCACATACCAAGTAAGTGGTAGACCTGATCCTTGAGGTGTCCGTCTGAATTCAAAGCCAGGCCCTTTTCACTTGTTCTGCAGCCTCCCATCTTTTCATGCATTAATTTATGTAACATATTTATTGGTACATCCTTTGTGCCAGGCTCTATGAGAATCACTGTGCATGAAGAAATTAAGGAAGACATAGTCCCTGTCTTTAGAAAGCCTAGCTGGGGGTAGAAGAGGAAACGCAGGAAAGCAGCAGATAAGCAAATGCAGGTATCAGGAGGCAAGGCGGCTGTGGTTCTAGGAAAAGTGTTAGGGAGACCAGAGGAGGGAGGATGACTCTGAGATGTTTGGGGAAGGTATCACAGAAGAGAAAGAGCTCTTGGAATCAAATCCTGCAAGATGAACTGAAGTTTACCTGGTGCAGAAGGAAATGCTCAATGTGGACAAACCCAAGAAAGTTCAAAGTGAGAGATGGAGTGATGAGGCTAGATGGAGGAGGCTTGGTTGTTAGGACAGAACTTAAACATGGTTTTGTGGCCACTGGGGAGCCCCAAAAGAGCCCTGGCGGTGTACTTTTATATGTTGGGCTGCTAACCAATAGCCCAGCTGTTGGATCCACTGGACAACCCAGGGGAGAATCACTATGGATTGGAATTAACTTGACAGCAATGGTCTTGGATGGTTGTTTGGTTTGGTTTGGGTTTTTTTTTTGTTTTCATTTGTCATCTCCTGAAGGGTTTTGAGCAGTGGGGATGCTTGGTCAGGATTCTAAAAGGTCTTTCCAGTAAGAAGAGGTGTCCAAAGTCTAAAGATCTGGAGCCCCCTACCATAAAAAAAAAAAAGAATTGTGTTTTCTGTGAAAGTTCATCTTGACAAATTGGGTTCCCATTTAACAATTGCTCCACAAACTGTTCCTTAGCACTGGCTACATTTATTCACAGCCTTCTCATCAGTCTCTTTCTGAATGCTTCAATTCCCGTAACCTTGTTTCCCTTTCCCCTCACTTTTTCATCTTTGCTTCAGAACAATTGTTGACCGTGTGGTCTCATGCAATTAAATGATCCAGGGAAGTATTAAAAGAAGATTGAAAGAATATACTGAGTCACTGTATCAAAAGGAACTGGCAGACACAGAAGAGCCTACGGTGATGAAGGAAGAAGTTCAAGCTGCTTTGAAGAAAATAGCGAAAAATAAGGCCCAGGAATAGATGATATACCAATCAATGTATTTCAGCTAATAGATGCTGCCCTGGATGTGCTCATCAAGTTGTGCCAAGAAATCTGGAGAACAACCGCTTGGCCAACTGACTGGAAGAGATCTATATTTGTTCCCATTCCAAAGAAGGGTGACCCAACGTAGTGTGGAAACTATAGAACAATATCGTTGATTTCACACACAAGCAAGATTCTACTGAAGATTATCCAAAAATGAGTGGAACAGCACATCAGCAGAAAACTGCCAGAAGTCCAGACTGGGTTTAGAAGGGGGCGTGGTACTAGGGATATTGTAGCTGATGTTAGCTGGATCTTAGCTGAAAGCATGGAATACCAGAAGAATGTCTATCTGTGTTTCATTGATTATGCAAAGGCGTTTGTTTGACTGTGTGTATCATAAACTGTGTCTGACTCTGAGAAGAATGGGAATACCAGAACACTTGATCGTTCTAATGAGAAACCTATACTTGGACCAAGAGGCAGTCATCAGAACAGAGCAAGGAAACACTGCATGGTTCAAAATTGGGAAAGGCATATGCCAGGGATGTGTCCTATCTCCAAACCTTTTCAACCTGTATGCAGAACAGATTATCCAAGAGGCTGGGCTCTATGAGAAGTGTGGCGTCAGGACTGGTGGAAGATCTATCAACAACCTGCATTATGTGGATGACACAACCCTGCTTGCTGAAACTAAAGAGGACCTGAAATGCTTGCTGTAGAGGGTCAAGGACTGCAGCCTTTGGTATGGATTGAAGCTCAATGTCAAGAAGACAAAGATTCTCACCACTGGACCAATTGGCAGCATCAGGATGAATGGTGAAGAGATTGAGATTGTTAACAACTTTAGTCTGCTTGGCTCCACGGTCAACACACTTGGCACCAGTAGCCAGGAAATCAAAAAGCGTATTGCAATGGGAAAGTCTGCTGTTAGGGACCTCTCCTGGGTACTGAAGAGCAATGGTGTCACTCTGGAGACTAAGGTGTGTCCGATACAGGCTATGGTCTTTGCAATCACTTGTTATGCATCAGAGAGTTGGACGATGACTAGGGAGGATAGGAGAATTGATGCCTTTGTGCTGTGGTGCTGGAGAAGTGTATTGAATGTACCATGGACTGTCAAGAAAACAGATTCATCCTGAAGAGGGTTAAACCAGGCTGCTCCTTGGAGGCAAGGATTCTGGGGCTTCGTCTGACATACTTTGGACATGTTGTAAGGAGGGAGAGGTCCTTGGAGAAGGACATCATGCTTGGGAGGGTGGAGGGACGGCACAGGAGGAAAGACCCTCTATGAGGTGGATTTCAGTGACGGGTAATTGGGTTGGGTGTGTCAGAGGCAGTGTGATTGGCACAGGATAGAGCAGAGTTTAGGGCTGTTGTACATAAGGTCGCTATGAGTCGCAAGCGACTCAACGGCACATAGCAACAACAATATGAATAGTGTTAATAGATACTAGTCTTATTTTTAGGAGCCAATTCGTTATTTAGATAGAAAGAGCTTCAAGAGGTAGTTTCAGTTTGAAGCTCAAGGAGTATCTAAAAATATACCAGTAAGTCCTCTAGTTTTAAGTGGTTCAGTAAGGATGGACTAGATTTGAGTTCTGATCCATATTCTCCTATTCAATCAGGATCCACTTTGTATGGCCATGGTCAAAACGGTTGTAGTGGTAGCGGGGGCCCCATCTAGTTCTTCTGGTTTCACAACAGATGAGGCCATGGCTCGTATAAACTATTAGCCCTGTAGACTAGTTTCTTCTCTGAATGTTTGGTTTCCTTCATTCTCTTGCACATCAGATGTGAAGAGACCATTGTATTTTAAATATCTGCTTGCTGGGAGCTCTGGTGGCCTAGTGGCAAGAAGCTGCACTGCAATCCCAGAGGTGAGCAGTTTGAATCCACCGGAAACTCTGCTGGAGAAAGAGGGGCAATCTCCTGCACCAGTCAGATCCGATTTGATGGTACACACACACACACACACACACACACACACACATAAAAAAAAAGTTTAAAAAATATCTGCTTGCATGCTTTTAAAACAAAGCAAAGAAAATAAAACCAAACAAAAAGAAAGAAAGAAACACCGCATATGAATGTATTTCTTTGTTAGAATGCTCACATTACATTAGTGTCCTTTCACATTAGCACTCTCTCTGGTGTTAGATAGGATGCATCTGACCCCATGTGGCAGCAAGGAGGACTCTCAGAGCCACACAAATGTCCACTAAAATCAGCTGCGAGCCTTCCTTGATGGTGACGGGGTAGGTGCTGACAAGCCTTGACACACCACAGACCTGCCCCAGGGTCTGCTTACAGGACACATTTTTGTCTTCACACAGCAGAAGGAGGTTAGGGATGGTCTCTAGCGATGGTGTTTGCAAACCACCATGATGCACTCTGAGATGTCTCTCCTGAGGGTTTTGGTGGCCTCATTAGCTCCTGACAACATGCAACATGTTCAAAGTAGGTTAGATGAAGTTTCGCCATCTGGACCTCTAAGGAACACCCTGGTTGTTCTTCCTCCAAGACAGATTTGTTCATTCTTTTGGCAGTCCATGGGATATTCAGTACTCTTTTCCAACACCAAAAGTCAAAGGCCTTGATTCTTCTTCTGTCGTCTTTATTCATTGTCCAACTTTCAGCTGCAGAGGAAGCAACTGAAAATACCGTGACTTGGATCAAGTGCACCTTAGTCTTTAAACTGACATCATTACTCTTTAGCCCTTTGGAAAAGTCCTTGATAACAGATTTTTCCAACATAGCACATCTTTTAATTTCTTGACTGCTGCTACCAGGAGTGTTGATTGTGGATCCAGATAAAATGAACTCATTGACAGCTTCATCTTTTTTTCTACCTACCATGACGTGGACAGTTGGTCCAATGGTGAGGACAGGCTTTCCCATGTACATATTCGTCTGTCAGGGCCGTGGTTCTGAGGCTTTGCCATTCCTCCAGGAGCAAAAGTAATGTTGGAGCAAGAGCTGCGTCTCCACTGGAGGATCACAATGATAAGGGGGGGAAATGCTGCTTGTGATTTAAGACCCCAAATATAACTTACCAAATTGGGATGTTGAACATAAGCTTTTGAAACTATTCTAGGCCAGATTGACTGAGTTGTCCCAAGAGGTCAATGCTAAGCCTTTAAATCCAGAAACCAATCCTGTGAAGAGTCTGGTTTTATCAAAGAAATATAGACCCAGAGTCCTTTTAGGAAACCATCGCTTTAGTCAATAAGGAAAATCAATTGCTCCTCCAGCTCGCCTCTATTCCAATTCCAATGCCTGTTGCTTCTAGTCCACTTAGACCCTGGGATGTTTCAGTTTGCATGGGGTTTTTTAGTTTGATTTTTGTCATCCCCATCAAAGCCTTCATTTTACCTTTTGGAGAGCACAGCTGGCTGCCTTCGTCTTTGCCCACTCTCAACTTCCTATGTGGTCAATGGGGCTGCAGTGAGGCTTGATATAAAGGTGTTGACACTGATTCTTGGGGTGACGGGTAAAGGGATCCAGGAGGTGGGGACTTTCCCCATCGCTCTGGGTCTGAGCAGGTTCAAACATTTCAGCTCTCTTCACTGCCCGCCCCCTTATTTGCTGCACTCCACTTCCTGTCCCACCAGAGGAAGTGGGGAGTGACAGCAGGTACTTCAACAGCTAGCAGGGCCATGGTAAGTCCTGATGCCCAGGAATCTCTGCCCCTGAGCCCCTGACCCCAGGGCCCCCACATCCTGGTCTTGACCCCCCCAGCAGGTGGACGTCTAGCCTCCAAGTTCCTCTTGGGGCAGGGAGTTCAGCCTCAGCTCGCCTCATATTGTTTTCCCTCTACCTTCCCCAACAGGACAAGGAGTATGTGGGTTTTGCCGCCCTCCCCAACCAGCTGCACCGCAAGTCTGTCAAGAAGGGGTTTGACTTCACATTGATGGTGGCAGGTTGGGGAAGTTTGAAGAGGGGTTGTTGGGAGGATAGAAGACCCCAGGGGACCCAAACTGTCCCCTCACCTGGTCAGCTGGGCCTGTCTTGTCCACAGGAGAGTCGGGCCTGGGAAAATCCACCCTCATCAACAGCCTATTTCTTACCAACCTCTACGAGGATCGGCAGCTGCCACCAGCCAGTGGTAAGACCCTGCCCCTTCTCCCAGACTCTGCTGTCCCCTCTCTCCAGGGGCCCCAGGCTGCACTCTGGGTCTCCTGTGGCTTTCTGAGTTGCTCAGAGAGCTCATCATATTCCTCTGAGACTGCTTCCTTTCCTGGATAATGTGGGGGGCAGACTATGATGCTGAAAAAAGGAAAACAGGAATCCTGCCTCAGAGAAAAGCTGTGTCTGCCAGCCTCTGCGCTGTTCCCACAGATCGCCTGACTCAGACACTGACCATCGAGCGCCGGGGTGTAGAGATTGAGGAAGGGGGTATTAAAGTGAAGCTGACACTGGTGGATACACCCGGCTTTGGGGACTCAGTGGACTGCTCAGACTGGTAAGGAGGAGGGAAGCGGGCAGGGGCCAAGTCTTTCAAAACGGCTACTCTGTGGAGACCAGGGGTTCACACAGGGCTGATCTACACTGACTTCCTCACGCACACTCACCAAAAGATAGTGCCTGTGTGGTGCCACCTGACCCAAAGTGTCCTCTGTGGTCGGTGTATGCTTCCTGATGCCACTTTCCCCTGGCCCCTTTGGGTGAGGACAAAGAAACTACCTACTTGCCAACCCCATAGTCCTGTTGACCTTGCCTCACTCTCCTGCCTCCTCAGGAGGACCTTCTGACCTCTGACCACATGCTCTGCCCTCCCCTCCAGCTGGCTGCCTGTGGTACGCTTCATCGAGGAGCAATTTGAGCAGTATCTTCGGGATGAAAGTGGCCTGAACCGGAAGAACATCCAGGATTCTCGGGTCCACTGCTGCCTCTACTTCATCTCACCCTTCGGCCGGGGGTCTGGTGGACACCTTGGGCGTGGGAGTGTGGAGCATTTGGGGAGGACTAAGGGTTCCCATGCCCTGGGTCTGTGTCCTGATCAATCCCTGGGTGCAGGCTTCGGCCCCTAGATGTGGCCTTCCTCCGGGCTGTGCATGAGAAGGTCAACATCATCCCAGTCATCGGCAAAGCAGATGCCCTGATGCCTAAGGAAGCCCAGGCCCTCAAGCAGAAGGTGTGGATTTCCTGAACCTCGGAGCTCTGATCCCCGCTGCCTTCTTGGGTCTCAAGTGCCCTTTTGAGAAGAACAGTGTCAGGCTGGGCTGTGGGAGCAGCTTTCTTTATATATATATAAAATTTTTTTTAAAAATTTTACTTTATTATTTTTGTGTGAGTGTACCGTCAAATCAGATCTCCGGCAGAGCATCTGGTGGATTCAAAACAGTGCACCTCTGGGATTGGGAGCAGCTTTCTGAGGGCAGTGGGAGCTTTTATCTAGGGAGGTTTCCAAAGAGATGAGTGTACAGCTAAAGTCTGTTCAAGGTCAAGGGCATAGCCACAATGACTCTGACAGCCATTCTATGGATCCAGGGATGCTGATGGCTGTTCCCCCCCACTTTCGGTCTTAGTCTCTTGATGTCTACTCCATCATTCCAAGCTTTCAGTCTTCACTATTAGAGTGTTCTGCCTCAGTTTCTCCTCAGCTCCGTCTCTGAGATTTTTGTTTCTGGCCATCCTCCATGTCCACCTGTCACCTCTCTTGTCTATGTCTGTTTCCTATCCCATGCCTCTATTTCACTGGCCAGGCAATGTCCATCTCTCTTCTGCTTTGTCTGATTCTCTACGCTTCCCGTTGTCTCTCGAGATCCGGGACCAGCTGAAGGAGGAAGAGATCAACATCTACCAGTTCCCCGACTGTGACTCGGATGAGGATGAAGACTTTAAGAGGCAGGATGCGGAGATGAAGGTGAGAGAGAGGCAGAGGAAGGGGCAGGGAAAAGAGAAGAGATGTAGAAAGGTGGGAGCTGAGAACGAGAGTTCTGCAGCCAGGACAGAGGAAGGCAACCCCTGATCCCTTTCCTCTAGGGCAGCATCCCCTTTGCAGTCGTGGGCTCCTGCGAGGTGGTGAGGGATGGTGCCAGGCCAGTGAGGGGACGCCGCTACTCCTGGGGAACTGTGGAGGGTGAGTACAAACAGGCCTCCAAGGGGCCGACCGCTTAGGAGCGACGACATCCAGCGTGCAAGCTCTGGGCTGGCTCCAGCCAGAAACCAAAACAAGGGGGTGCTTGGGGTGGAGAGAATGCGGATCTTCCCCAAGGGCAGCCACACAGCGTCCAGGCGGCCGGCCTGTGCTCTCTAACGCTCGCGGGTCCGCCACCCAGTGGAGAACCCTCACCACTGCGATTTCCTGAACCTGAGACGGATGCTGGTGCAGACACACTTGCAGGACCTGAAGGAGGTGACGCACGATCAGCTGTACGAGGGCTACAGGGCCCGCTGCCTGCAGAGTCTGGCCCGGCCCGGGGCTCGAACTAGCCGCAGGTGAGGACTGGTCAGGAGCCCACTGCAGGGGCGTGGTCGATGACTCCACCTGTGGAGCCGCCCAGACCAGGACCCTGTCCCCAGCACCTACACGACCCAGCCTTCAAGGCCAGCCCTTATCATCCAACTGCTGATCCTTGCTCCTTTCTCACCACCCCCAGTAAACTTTCCCGCCAGAGCGCCACCGAGATCCCGCTGCCCATGCTTCCTTTGGTCGAGACGGAGCAGCTGATCCGTGAGAAAGACGAAGAGGTGAGCCAGCGCCCTCGCCTCCTGCCCGGCCAGGTCTTCCCAGGGCCTCTGCGAGGTCCCTGTCTGGCCTCGCTGGGCCCCACCGCCTGCCATCTTGCCGTCTTTCAGCTGCGCCGCATGCAGGAGATGCTGGAGAAGATGCAGGCCCAGATGCAGCAGAGCCAGGCCCCGGGCGAGCAGTCGGACGCGCTCTGAGCCCGCGTAGTTCACCTTCCTACCCCGACCTGAGGCCACGGGCTGTGTAGGTCCTCCCTCCAAACCACTCTCCGCAAACCCTGCAGTGAGGAACCCCGCCTCTGGCTCCGCCCGACTCTATAAGGCTCACTCGCCAGTGCACAAAACGTGATCAGAGCCACCTGCACCCCCTTGGCCTTCTGGCGTCGCCCCTCTTCTCCCAAGCTGTATCTCCACTATCTCCAATAAAAGCCAAGCTGCCCTGAGGCCACGCGAGTCTTTTTCGCTCCCACGGGGAGGAGGAGCAGGCAGAGCCGGTAGAGCCTCCCCATCAGGCCTCCAGGGCACCCACTGGGTGCTCCGACCGTGTTTCGGCTCCCCCCCCCCGTGGGACCCAAGTCAGGCCCTCCTCACGCACAGACTGAAGGCGCCACCCTCTGATAAGAAACAAAGACCAGTTGGATTTTATTGGGAATCAGGATGGCTGGCTGCAGAGTGAGTGTGCACCTAGTGGAGGCCTAGGGCAGGTTCTACTACTCCTGGTCCTTGGCGTCACCGTGGGTGATGACGTAACAGATGTTCTTGTAGTCCACGTTGCCACCCACGTCTGGGGGGAAGGCCGCCCACATGTTCTTGATCTTGGGGAGACAGGAGGGCAGCTCCTTATTTCTCTCCTTTCTTGTTCTTCTCCCCTCCCGCTCTTGCTTCTCCCAGGCCTCACCCCACTCACCTCCTCTGGGGTGAAGCGGTCACACTGTGTAGTAAGCAATTCCTCCAGGCTGAAGGGAGATCACCGATAGATAGAGCTGAGCTAGGTGTTCGCAGTTCCGCGCTCCCTCCCACCTCGCAGCCTCCAGTCTATCTATGAAAACTGGTTGCTCTGGTTCCCTCACTCATTTCTCAAGCACTCCGTGTGGCCTCCCAGCTTGTGTCCGTCCATAGCTGCATCCCTAGGGAGTCTCAATTCCTAACCCAAAGGCCGTTCCAATCCACCAGCAATCTCCTCTCTTACGATTTACAGCCTCTGAAAATCTGCTAGAAGGTCAACTATGAGTGGACACAACGGGGCAATATATTGAGCTAACTTAAGCATTGTATCAATTAGACTAATTTACACAGGCCTCTTGTGCCTCGTGTACCCTCTGCAGTACTGAGCCCTTGTACGGATGTAAGGAAAGACCCGGTGGTGCACAGGTCAACACACTGGCCTGCTGATTCAGAGGCTGCTCTGCAGGTGAAGGGTGTCTCCAAAGGCTTATAGCCTTGGAAATCCCAAGGGTAGTTCTCGGTCCCACCGGGTCTCTGTGAGTTGGGAATCTGCTTTATGGCAGTGGGGTTTTGGTTTTCTGTGCTATGGTAGCTGCGGGGAGCAACTTACAACTGTTTCTTGATTGTACCCTTCCCCTCAGGGTCCAGGACCTTGAAGGCTCCAGTGATGACGTCCTCAGGGTCAGCACCTGGGGAGTCAGAGGACAAATGAGGCTGAAGGATCCCAGAAAGGACTAGGGGGCCAGGGAGCCTAGCCATAGGACTTTAAAAAAAAAAATTTCTACTAGTTTATTTACAAAATTCAAATACTTTTTTTTCAAGAGCAAGTTCTTTCAATTTCCTTCACCGCCCCCCCCATCAAATTGTACAACCTTGTGATTAATCCCCCTCTCCCCCGCACATCCACATCCCTCATCTTCCAACCTCTCCCACGCCTCTTGGACTGTAGGACTTTTTACTCACCTTTGAGCTTCTCCCCGAACATGGTCAGGAAGACGGTGAAGTTGATGGGACCACTGGCTTCCTTCATCATAGCATCCAGCTCCTCATTCTTCACGTTAAGGCGGCCTGGAGACAGGGAGCATGAGCTGGAGGGTGGGGGGTGGCCTGGAGCCAGGGTTATGCTTCCTAGAAGTCTGGGTCACCTCACCCATTTTTCAGCTACATGGAGTGAGCAGGTGGAGCCATCAAGACCAGAACCCAAGACTGCCGGGCCCCCAGGACTCCCAACAGCCTTAAAGCCTGGGTCTTTATGAATGAGTGGGGACTCACCCATGGCTGCGAAGGTGTCCCGAAGGTCCTCTTTGTCAATGATTCCATCTCGGTTCTGATCGATTACAGTGAAGGCCTATGGAAGAGGGTGGACAGGATGGGGGCGGGAGCACAAGATGGCGCTTAAGCCCCAGGACCAAGGCGTCAGGCCTCCCATCCTGGACAGATCAGATTCTGGGCCCCAGCCAGCTGTCTTCTTCCATTCCAGGCAAAGAGGGGCGGAGGGAATTCTAAACCCTTCTCCTCCCCCTGCAAACAGGTGCACATTCCAGAGAAAGGGTGCGGGAGTGGGAAAGGGATAGCTGGGAGGGGGGTGCTTTTGGTCCATCTTCAGTTTTTCTCTTCGCCACACTCACCTCCTTGAACTCCTGGATTTGAGTCTGGTCAAACATAGAGAAGACATTGGAGCTTCCACCCTCTGCTGCCCTCCTCTTGGCCTTCTTGGGTGCCTGTAGGATGAGGGTTGAAGAAAAGTGTTCATGGACCAGTCCCTACTCCTGTCTGGGGACAGTGGACTAAGTTTTGACCCTCTCTGATCCTTTTACTTCTCAACCAACCCTCCTTCCTAGGAACATCTTTGTTAAGCAGACTTGCTTCTCTTGCTTCTACTGAACTCCCATCTGTGACCCCTGGACTCCTGTCTCCTTGCTTTGCAACCAATGGAGGTTTCCTGCCCTTCTTGGTGCTCTGAGCCTGCTTCCTCTGAGCTCTACACATGCTGTATGGCCCTGATCCCCTCATTTGCCCTGTACGCTTTCTCATTCATAAAATAGGAATGGGAATCCTTGCCCAATTGACCCCGCAGAGCTTCAGGAAGATGCAATGCAAAAGGGATAGAGCAGACTTTGAGGGGCTGGTCCCCTGTGAGTGGGGTGTCTGTTAAATTTTTCTTTGTTTGGCCTTTAGGCCATGACTCTGCCTGTTTGCTCCCCATTAGTAATACCAAGAAAGAGAAGAGTCCTCTGTTTTCCTCTTGCTGGACTGGGAACCAGCTGTTTTCACCCAAAGCATGCGGCTGCTCAGAGGTCTGAAGGATCTTGGGCAGCGGCTGGAAAATTCTCACTCACCATGTCTTCAGTCTCCTGGGGGCAAAGTGGTGGCACAAGCTGGAAAAGAGTGGAGAGTCAGCTTGGGGCGGTCCCTCTGGGGTTATATAGTCCTGCCCCAGGGAGCCCTTAACATACCGAGGTAACCTTAGCCTTTTGGGTGCCCACCCCAGATACTAAAATAGCCCAGCTCAAGGCCTCTCCTTTCTTGGAGGGCCGCAGCAGCTGGAACCCAGGGAGGGAGGAGGGAGATTTGGGGATGCAGACATGGTTTTTTCTAGGCAGGAGTGATGGGGGAGTTTTCTCCCAAATAACCTGGGATATGACAGTTTAGATGGGGGTCCAGCCCTAGGCACAATCTTAGGGCCAGGGTCCCCATAGGTCCTAAGTGGGATGGGTCCAGATTTAAGCCCTTTATCATTTAGTGAACACCTGTAGTTTATCAGTTACTTGGCTGGGTTTTGTGTATGTACTTCAGCAAACACTCCCTACTCCATTGTGTTGGTCACAGCTGAGTGTGTCTAAATGTGTGGATGGTGGTGGTGACTTTTTTTTTTCTAATATTTTATTAGAAGCAAGAAGCTTGTAGAATCAGGGAAATCTCCTTCATCTCTTTCCAGGAGATGGAACTTTGGTGGCGGAAAAAAAATCTAGATCACAGAGTCAGTCACTAGGTATGACAAGACTAGACAGCTTAGAGTAGAAAGCTTGCTCTGTGATCTCAGGCATTATGTTTCCACTCTTGGGCATTGTGTGTTGCTGCTCTTATGTGCTATGGAGTCGACTATGACTCATAGCCATGCTTTAGACAGCAGATCTGAACCTCGTCTATCCTGTGCCATGTGTCAATCTATGTGTTTGACGTTTTCCCCCTTTTTCTCTGACCCTCCCCCTTTCTCAGCATGATGTCTTTTCCCAAGGACTGACCCCTCCTGACCACATGCCCTGGGTATGTAAGAGGACATTTCACCATCCTTTCCTGTGAGGAAGACCCTGGTTGTACTTCCTCGCTAAGATCTCTATAAAATTGGGATGCAATTATTGTGGATGGGACACTTTTTGGAAACAGTCTGGTGAACTATGTATAATTATACATAATATTATACATAATAATTAGTCCCTTCCCTGGTGAAAACTTACAGCCTAGCATGGAGACAGGAGTAAATGACTCATCTGCTGGTCAGAGGCTGGTAAGTAGAGAGCATAATAGGTCTGTTTGCTGTAGTTTGTTGTTAGGTGCTGTCAGTCAACTACGACTCATCGCGACACTATGAACATCAGTTCTGAACCTTCCCCTGTCCTGTGCCATCCTCATGATCTCTGTTCTGCTCAAGCCCATCGTGATAGTCACCATTACCAAGCCATCTCCTTGAAGGCCTCCCTCTTTTTCACTGACCTTTCCCATGGCTGTGACTAGCCATGTTTAGGGGTGTTATGATGGCTTCACTAAGGCTGTCGGAAATCAGTCAAGTCAAAGTGGATGGGCAGGCATACTAGGGTGGGAGTGTGGATGAAGGCCCAGAGAAATGTTAAGATGAAGTGTGCAGGTTGCCATGTTATGACGGGGCTAGAGCAGAGGATGTAAGAAACAGAAGGAACAGATACTGGATGGCTTTGAATGATAGGCTGAGAGCTGAGATCCTGGAGGTCCTTAGAAAGACTGGTAATCAGGAGGAGAACATGGTTAGATGTGAGTTTATAATAATTTCTCTGGATACTCATTTGGAAAATGGAACTCAGAGGAGGAGAGGCTGAAGGAAGCTAGTTATGACTTGTAGGTTGGTTGAGAAGGCTGGTGGCTTCTCTCTCTCTCTCCTAGGTGGGAACCACTCTTCTCCACCCATCTGGGCTCCGGTGACCCAGTACCCTTCATCTAGTGAAGAGCAGGGGAGACAGTGTTGGAGGAAGCCTGGGAGGCTCACAGCTGACAAAGATAACCATCTCCTTTTCCCTCTTGGACTTGATGTCTCCAGTAAAGTTTCTTCCCCCTCACCCGCACCCCCTCCCCAGCCTGCTAGCCTCATGCCAATGCTTCTAAGACACTTTCTTTTCTGGGCACTGAGGCCTGGCCACCTGTTGTCCCTAAGAAGAGAGAAGGAGGCGCCTAAACTTAGCAGTTGTCCTTGGCCTCCTACACTGGCCGCTCCTTGCCATGGGCTGCAGCTGCCTCACCTTATATGGTTACCATGGGGGTCCAGGACCAGGGAGGAGCCCACTTATGACTGAGTTCTGGGAGGGGAGAGAGACTCCAAAGAGGGGCTTGGAGGAGGAGCTCAGGAGGACTGGACTGAGCAGAAAATGGGGCGATGGTGATCAGGAGTAGGATATCTCAGATTTAGAATGGGAGCTCACAGGATTTGGGGCCAAGCAAGGACTGAAGTGACACACAGAACCCAGAAGCCAGCAAGAACTGGGGAGTTTGGAGTTAGATCTCAGAGATAGACTGCAATTTCAGAATGGTGGATTCTGTGGAGAATTTCCTCTAACCCTGCGTCCCCGCAGGCTGTAGAAAGGAGGGATTTGGAAGGTTGGGATTTATAATGTGAGGTTTTTGGTCTGTGGTTTGGGTAAGTTTGAGGGTCTCATCTTAGTATCTGGGTTTTTGAGAGAAAATTGAAAGTACGCTGAGATACAGCACCAAGAAGAGTTCATGGGTGCTGGATATTGAAAAAAAAAAACAAACTCTAAAAATGGGGAGAGGAAAAATGAATTTGGATACAGACCCTTGTAAGAATGGGGAGAACTTATATAGTAGATAGATGCTGAAGAAGTTTGGAGTGGTTTCGTGGTAAGGACTACCAACCCAAACAAAGGTAGGCTGTTTGAATACTTCAAAGGAGAAAGATGGGCAATCTCCTACTGTACTTCTGAAAACCCGCTGGAGGGTCAGTTTTTCTGATTCATCAGTACATAACAAAAGGACAAGAAATGAGTGATCCCAAAGGTCGCTTAGAGGATTTTGGGACCCATGGATTTAGAGTATTGGGGTTAAATTGGGACCAGGATTAGAGTGTGACAAAGCTAAAGGAATGGAGCAGGCTTGAGAGCACTGGTTCCGAGATGGGCTTAAGTTTTTAGAGACCACTGAAGTGTGTGTTGGGTGCAGGCTCAGCAACTAGATGGAGAAAGTGGGTCCAGAGAAGACTTAGGAGAGGCAGGGCGGCGCTCTTACTGGCTAGGGGTTGTGCTAATTCTCCTGGCCCTCGAACCCTCTCCGCGCTGTCCCCAACTGTCACCCCGCATTCCGCGCTTGTCGCCGGTTGTCACTGACTATCCCTGGGCTGGCACCGCCTGCTAGCAGCGCCCTTGACATTTCGATGTAGCCATTGGCTGAGCCAGTTCCCGCCTCTGTTGCTGACGTGAGATAACGATATCATTGGCTGTTGAGGCAAATCAATCGCAATTTTGACCCGACCCCAAGCTGTCATTCCTTCCTGACCATTTTGGGAGACAGAAAGCTATCCCCGGTTCTTCCTATTGATTGCAGATTCTGTCTGTCACCGCCAATTAGGCAAGTTTCCCTCCGCCTACTCCCTTTTTCATTGGCTTCCTTTTCACTGTTCTCTTCTGCCGGGAGCCGCAAGGCTCCACCTTTTAGTTGCCCAGGACCTCCTCCCTCCCCGCCCTTCCGCAGGCATTCAATCTTAAATCAATTCTATTGGCCAAGAGGTCCAGGTTCCTGCTTTTCTATTCGATACTTCTTTAGCTCCACCTCCTCCTCTCTCTGCTCGTCCTCTGATTGGTTTACTCCCTCTCCGCCTCTCCGTTTCCTCTTTCTAGATTACCCACCCCCTTCCCACCGCCAACCGCACCCACCCTTCCAGCGATTGGCAGAAACCCAGTTCCCTCTCGCCTGTTATTCGTCCAAGCCCACTGAGAAGGCGGGAGGAAGAAAAAAAGGAGCGCGAGGGGACGGCGGCGCGCAGGCGTGAAACGTCTGAACGCTGGCCCCTGAGTCCGGCACCGGGACCTGTGCGCAGGCGCTAGGTCGGCTGCTCGCCCAAAGCAGGAGGGAGGGGGGCGGCGGCGGCG